GGCGATGCCGGGCATCGCCGCGTACAATAAAAACAAACGCGCGGAACCAGTAGGCGCGGGACGCCTTACTGGTAGTGCAGTCACGCGTGTCTACAACGGACACGCGGCAATAAAGGCTGCAGCCCCCAGCGAGAGAGATTCTCGCTGTACGAAGCAAGATGACAAGCCAAACCTTGTCATCCTGAAGGTGAGATCGAAGAGAGCCTGCTCTCTTCGTGCTTTGGTAGACCCAGGTGCGTCGAACAACTTTGTTCGACTGGAAAGTCTATCAAAGCTGAACTTCGAGGAGGTTGAAACACCTCGAAGTGTTTTTGGAGGTTCGGTTGGCAACAGGTGCCACCGTAAAGACCGAGAAGCGCGTCGTACGCGTGCGCTTCTTGTACAAACACAGGGTGTTAGTAGAAGATCTTATCGTCTTAGACCTTGACGATAAGTTTGACTTAGTGTTGGGCATGTCGTGGCTTGCGCGGCATGATCCAGTGATCAACTGGGTACGCTTCGGACACGGTGTGACAGAGAGCGATGACCCTGTCAGTGAAGCGCATGCGCCCACGAGGTGCATCCGATCACGCCGTAGAGCCAACATCCAACAATGTTGTCTCCGGCACCCACACACAAGTCGGAACGACTGCGGCAGTCGTTGTGTCTGTCTCAAATCAGAAATCCGATTTGAGGCAATGCCTACTTCAATGAAATTATCAACTCAGGGAGTCGATACATTAAGTATGGAAGAGGTTTCGGCCACAGAAAAGGTATGTGACGACGACGCATCAGTTCCGGGAACTAATGCATCAAATATGAAAGGGATTCCAGCTACAAACAGTAGCTGTGATGTCTGCGTGTCAGCTCCGGGAGTTAACACGGGCTCCGCCGAAAGGCGTCGAGGTGACAATAGTGCGTCAACTCCGGGAGTTGACGACGCGACAGGCAGTGCTGGCGGTTGCAAACGCCCAGCACCGAAAATGCTTGCGTGCTCGCGTGCAGCCGGGCTGCACGACGAAGCGGAATGCAATCAAGCCGGGCTTGATCATTCACGTCCGCGGGAACAATCCGCCGACGGTTACAAAAGTAACGGAAACTCGTCCAAGGCCGGGCCTGGACGAGAAACACGTGAAGCCGGG